CCATACTATCTTCTACTTCGTAGAAATTACCTCTTATTCGGAGCGTTCTATCCTGGAGATAACTTCTCATCAAAATGTACAAGTTGTTAGGAGTCTCGTATTTCTGCAGCTGCTGGAGTACACTTGGCCACCATACGCTATCGAAGGCGGAGGTGATGTCAAACAAGAGGAGCATGACATACTTCTCCGCCTTCTCTTCAACGTCATGGCGTACTCTCAGCAGGGCATCTGCAGTTCCCCTGCCTTTGGTACATCCATACTGCCGTGGATGGGAAGCTCTCGAAAAAATAGGCTGTAGGCTCGTGACCATCATGTTCTCCAACACCTTACTCATAACAGGGAGGAGACAGATAGGCCTATAAGACTTTGCCATTTGTTTATCCTTGTCACCTCCCTTGTAAATAAGTCTGAGATCGGCAATTTTCCACTTTTTTGGGAAGTAGCCCCTATCTAAGCAATCATTGAATATTGCCAGGAGTTGATCTTCAATGTAGGGAATACTATTTCGGAGGATTGCCGTATCAATATTGTCAATACCTGGGGCACGACCAAGCCTTTGTCTATCCACGGCAGTACGGAGATCCCATATGTCCCAGGGTGGGCACAAGTCTGTACCGGGTGGGCATACCGTAGTGCGTCTAATAAACGCGTCTCTCTCGTCATCTTGGGATGGATCATCTCTGGGGAAGGTCTCTATAATGAAATTTTTCGCCGTCTCCTCCAGAGTGGTCGCCTGGGCATCGCCGCTCTTCATTGCAGCAATCACCTGTTGTGGACTCATCTTAGCCAGGGCCACTCTGTAAGGGATACCCCAGGGGTTCTTGGATGACTCCTCGACGATAAACTCGTCCCAAGACTTCCGCTTTAGTGACCGCACTTCGTTTCGGTATGTCCTGGCCTTAGACTTGTACTCGTCACGAAGTGTAGTGCGCCTCTCGTCACAACTACACCTCTGGTACGACCGCCGTGCCTTGTAGAGTTCTCTCTTCATAATAGTGAGGGCCGGCGTCCACCATGGGACTGGTCGAGCTCTTGCCTTCCGGTGCTGGAGGGTTTCCTCTGCAGCATCACAGATGATATCTGTTATCCTGGAGACTCTGTAATCTAGGTCATCAGTCAGATCCGTCTCCGCCGCATCCCATTCATTGTCAACGAGTTTTCCCTCTAACGTGGACCGGAAGGCACTCCAGTTTCCTCTTTTTGTAATATAGCCTTTAGTTATGCCGTGGGAACTTGTAAGTGTCGCATTTTCTACGACACTAAACACTATTGAGTGATGGTCGGAACTCGTATCAGATCCGAGGGCCCAATCGGTGATGCGGTTAGCCAGCTGCGGTGATGCCAGAGTCACATCAATCCAACTCTGTCCCCTAGCACTAGAGAATGTAGGGATGGCAGAAGGATCGTTAATTACTACTAGCTGACTCCTAGATATGAAATCACCGAGCTTAGTACCCCTTCTATTTGTTCGATTGGACCCCCAAACCGTGTTCCAGGAGTTGGTATCTGAGCATATGATCACGTTTCGAGAACAAGCTGTGATCATCTCCATGGCGGATATGTCTTCGTTAATATCATTTCCATCAGGTAGGTAAGCCGATACAAGCGTAAAAGTAACGTTACTCCACCTGATGAAGCAAGCGACATTATCCGGCGTGGTGTACTGCCTCAGATCCATCACATCGAGGTTTGGGTTATTGACCACTATGGCAGCCCTGGGCCTCCTCTCTCCACTGCTCAGGGCGATAACCCTCGATGCGAGGCCGAACCCCGTGACCATGTTCCCACGGCAGCATGGTTCTTGGACCGCCATGACGTCGAATCGCTGGGAGAGAGCTCGAAGTTCATCTGCCACGATGCGTCGGCGGCCCATATTCAGTTGGAGGATGGTGATTCTATTCATAAAAAGTCTTTTTTGCCACCTCCTTGGCCCACTTTAAGTGCACAGGGCATTCACGACTGCCTGCCTTATGCTTCCGTTGGCTAGATGGGACATTGGCCCGCTCGCAGTTTATACAGGTCGGACCAGTCAACTCTTTTTTTTGGGGGCAGTCCTTAAGCATGTGGCCAATAGTTGCACACCAGATACAGACTACGCCATCTACTGGGCAAGTTGCTTTAGTATGACCGTAGCCCTGACACTTAGTGCACCGTGGAGCGTCGATGTAGTCTTTAAAGGACATCGACCACCATCCTCCATCTAAGCTGGCTGTCTCTAAGAGTATAAATCTAACCATTGGATGAACTTCGATCACCCAATTCTTAGTAAAACCATTCCTTGCTATTGAAGAGAAAAGAGGCCGAATGTCATCAGGAACAAGTGTTGTGGCGCCCGATTTTTCAGATATTCTTCCCCATAGAAATTCCAACAGCTGCATAGATGTCCAGCTTTGAGGCACACCTTTTACTTCCATCTTGGGCTTCTTCTTCATAGCAAGTTTTGCTTGAAGTCCTTTTTCACGCAGCCCCTGCCACCCGATTACTTTGGTGGCTTCGGACCTATCATCCATGCGAACCAAGACAGAGCCTGCCTTTGTCGCTCGGACTATGGACGCCTTCACACCTATTTCATCCGGCGATGGCAAGCCATTAATAATGTCTACCGGAGTTTTGCCTACTCCGCTGATAGTGACATATGTAGGTCTTGGCGTTTGAGTCGGTTTAGCTGGCAATGATTTAACTATTTCCGCTATTGATTTTGGTTTTGTACCTTGTTTGTCGATTGGATTTTCCTTTGCATCAGGCTCTTTTTTGCTGGTAGCGTTGTTTCTCTTCTTTTTCCTTTTACTTACCACCACCGTGAAGGATTCAGAGGCAGCTGAAGGTCCAGCCTGATTAATGTTTTTTTCGGCTTGTGTCTGAGGTTCCTTCGAACGTTTAGGTTCTTGGTGAGGTGCTCCAATTGACGTGGTGAGTGTATCGGTATATTTTTGCGGAGATTTATCTACTAAAATTTGTTTCAATACATCATGCACCTTCTGTGACGAAAGCGTGTCCAAAATAGCCTTTTGAACTATGGCCGAGACTCCAACTTGTTCTTTTTCCTTTTCCTGATTTTCAATAATATCAACAAGGCATTGTACCTTGATATTAATCTGGTCTCGGACACTAGAGCTTAATTTTTTTCCATTATTTTCAATGGCCATTGAGATGCTCTCCTGTATATCTTTAGCCTGGCAAAGTTTGCTTTTAGTACTAGTCTCTTCCAAATCCTCTGGTAAATGAGAAGAGCCCCTCCTTGGTCGTTTTGCCACTGCTCTTGAGAGATTTCCTTCCTTTTGTACCCCCTCCATCTCGATATTGACCATAGGGTTTATTATAACTGAGATAACGTTATCTGCAATTTATAACCTTCCACTTTTAAACTATAACTAATAAAGAACTAAATGAAGTACTATATTCACCTGAAATTGTTTTCATTTACCTTAAGGGGTCTCTTAATACACTTTTAAATGTCTTATTAGAATGGGCTTGCCCGAACAGCAGGAATCACAATTGGTAAAAGTAAAAGTCTAGTACTCTATATACTTACTAAATTTGTTCCTACACAAGCAAGTAAATAAACTATCTTCACTAGGGCTTCCTATGGTGCTTTCCACCCACTGTAGAATAGTTCACAAGAATCTACTCTGTATGAAAGTTAATGAAATGTCCCACTCCTAACCTCGCTATTTATAATATTTACAATAAACTAAGCCATAACAACAAAACACATACAAAAAATAACACAAACTAACTAGAAAATTAATGAACGATAATAAACACGAAATAAACAAGAAAATAAGCACAGAAAACTAGATATTAGATAATCAGATTAGTACAAATGTGATATCACTATTTGACCTCACATAACCTCCATACATTGATATCAGGCACTTCCTTTGTATGACAGATACCCTGCTGAAGACATCTCCCCTCTCCCTCCCCTTCTTCCTGACAGAATGGGACCCAGGTTACCCCCAGGCCGCCCTGTCAAGACCTCTCTCGTTGGTCACCCACCCAGGTCCTCCGCAGGGATTGTATTACCACTACCTTGGAACCGAGTTGTAGGCCTCACGGGGCTCACCGCAAGAAGGTGAAAGTAGGAGTTGAGAAGAGCCAGGCTATATGGCCACTTGTGTCTCATATTGCTCTACTTCTCCATTTGGGCCTCTATTTAGTTAGAACATCTTGAAAAAAAAAATATCTGAACATTCAAACCTTCTCGAAAACAAATTACAAAAACTTCTTAATAGATTATCATTTTTTTTTCTTCAAAATTTAAGAATAAGGTAACCTGCAAGAGGACAGATTTCTTAGAAACAACTGAATGTGGCTAAATAGTTATGAAAAAATAAAATAACAAATAAATAATTATTAAAAGTTTTCAATTATTATAACGGTGAGAAGGCCAACTCAGATATGTACCCCTTTATAGTTGGTATCCATCCGTTCACAAAATTTATTTTATGGCCCAGATACAAAATCATATCATGATTTATTACCAATCGGACAACTGTCTTCACTCAACTGAGTGTAGAGGCAAAAGCAGCTCTTTATAAATATTTTAAGACAACACGAATACACTTTTTACGAAAGACGTAAAGAGTTGAGTTCACCGACAAACAGTGTGTCGCTAACATGGCCAATTCATCTAAAATATATATACTGATGTATATTCGATGAATAAATAATGCTTTAAGAAAGAAATTACAGTATTTTATTATTGTGATTACTGACAAGATTTTAGGTATTTATATACAAAAGCTTAGGAAATCATGTCTAAATCCGAATAGGCTGCATTTCTATAATGCCCTCCTGTATAAGTATCTTATATGGTTTAAATTTTCATAGTATTATTCATGTCAGTCATCTTGGGTCAGTTGTAGACTAAAAGAATTATAACACGCAGCTAAGAAAAACTATTTATTAAAAATTAATATGTACAAGAGGAATAAATTAGAAAAGGAATTGTGATAAATTATCCAAGTGCATGATAAAGTGCATGTACAGCGTAACGCTTAATGGTGAAGCAGGGTGGAACCATATCCATAGCCAAGACCGTATCCACCGTAGCTACCGTAGCTGCTACCGTAGAGACCACCATAGGCGAGTGGGCGAGCGGCGACAGCAGTGATTGGTGCGTGAGCGACGGTGGCTGGAGCTGCATAGCTGAGTGCTGGAGCGGCAGCGATGGCTGGAGCACCATAGCTAATAGCTGGAGCATGGGCAACGGTGGCAACTGCTGGGGCGGCGTAAGAGATTGCGGGGGCGGCATGGGCAACGGCTACAGGAGCGTGGTGTGCCACGAAGGAAGAGCTAGAATAGGTGGTTGGGGCATGGGCAATTGCTGGAGCAGCGTAGGAGACAGCGGGAGCAGCAGCGGCGTATCTGATAGCTGGGGCAGCAGCGTATCTAATAGCTGGAGTAGCGTACCTGATGGCTGGTGCAGCTGCAATTGCTGGAGCGGCGTAGGACACAGCTGTAGCAGCGTACCTGATGGCGGGAGCAGCGGCGGCGTATCTGATAGCTGGAGCGGCTGCAATAGCTGGAGCAGCGTATGAGATCGCTGGAGCTTGGGCGACTGCAGCTAGTGGTGCATGATGGGCAACGAAGGATGAGCTAGAGTATGTTGTTGGAGCGTGAGCAATAGCTGGAGCTGCTGCGATGGCAGGAGCAGCGTAGGAAACAGCAGGAGTGGCGGCAGCATATCTGATTGCTGGAGCAGCGTAAGAAATTGCTGGAGCATGAGCTACAGTTGCTACTGCGGGAGCAGCGTAGCTGACCGCTGGGGCGGCGTATGATAAGGCTGCTGGAGCACCGATGAGGCCTCCTGCTGAGGCTGCAGCGATACAGGCGAAGAGGATGGCCTACGAAAGTTAATTTATTATGCTCATGTAGTACTAGCACATCTAATGACCAATTTAGAATGGAAAAATGTTTTATTGTTTGAGTTTAAAATGAATTAATTATAATCCTGAAACAGTATAAATACCCATATCTAGTTTAACTTACAATCTTGTACATGGTTGCTGAGAAGGAGCTGAGAACAGTGTGAAGTGTCCAAAAAAGAGAGAGCCTATATATTGAGGTACCCGTGGGTCTGGAACCGGATTAACATCGAGAAGATGATCCGCAATCGCTGGCACCAGTTTCTTGTTGACATATAGGGCGATGGCACAATGCTCAGCCATTTAATTCGTCAAAATTAGATGAGGATTTTTTTTTTATTGGAGATAAACTTTCGAATTAAAAAGAAATATTAGTTTTGTATCTTAGTTTAATTAAAAGAAAAAAGTTTGCAACCATATATATTTATTATTTTGGTGCTATATTATTTTACTACTTGGTGCCACTATATTTTACTATTTAAATAAATTTCAGAACTATGGTCACCAAAAATTCTTTTTATTTAATGAATGACGCACAAATGGTCTGGTGTCGAAAAAATCAAATTGTATTTGACAATTTGAATAAATGAATTTTATATAAAAATATGAGCTATTTGTAAAAATATAATGGTTGTAAAGTGTGGTAGGCAGTTATTTATTGGAAGATTATACTTAGACTATATGTTTATAGTATATTTTTGTATAATTACCAAGATTTTTGTTTCTTTGCGTATTCTAATTCTCCTGACAGGCATAGCAGCTTAACTAAACTATACTTCCTCTTCCACTCTAGAGTTTATTCACAAACGACAAATCACAGGCATTGAGATATAGTTGTAAATAGGTAATCAATTGGATGGTGAGGCCTACCTGGCGCCATAAATCTATACGGCAGACGTTCTAAGTTATTTTTTTTTATCTTACTCAGTAATTTAAACCATACGACTTGAAAACTTGGTTTAGCCGTTCGTTTGAAAAATCGTCATACTCCAATTAATTGTCAACTCACTATCCACGTTGTGGTTTCGCTGCAGTTGGGTTATACCTTGTATACATGAATGGATTAGTTATTATTCATTCCAACTAAACTGCATATCAAGGAACTTTTTTATTTAAACGACTTACATGGACCTACCACATAAAACAAAAAAAAAAAAAAGAACTTAATCAACGATACGGACTTCTTTCAAGGATACTTGATAGATGTTCTAAATCATCGGTGACTAATAAATGAAATATTTATTGAAGTCCTCACTAAATTACTTTGGGCATATGGTATCGAGTTATGGACAACAGCAAAGACATCAATTTAAAAAATAATTTAATCGTCCCAGTCAAAAGTTTTCCTGAAAATTTTAGACACCCCTTTTATGTTTCTAACCTTAAGTCACAAATTGTCTTTTGACATTCCTTTTATCGCAGCAACTGTCACAGATGATTTTAATATGTTTTTATTAGTTGTTTAATTCTTGCTCCGTCATATCTTACTATTTTGTATGATTTGTATTATTTCTTGCTTCATTTTTTTTTTCAGTTTTGTTTTCTTTGACATTATATATATATATATATATATATATTCCTTAATATTATATTTGCTCAATACCTTTGTAGATAGAGAATTTATCTCGATAGAAATATTTATATCTTACAGATAAATCGTTTATTTTTAATATGATTTTATTTCATCTGTTTTCTTTTAAAACTTAAAATGAGCATTTACATGTTTGATTAAAATTATATGAAATTAAATTAGATGCAGTTATCTACTGGCATTTTCTGTTAACACGGCATATCAGATTACTATCGATTTTAGAAATAGAAGGTAATCACAAATTTGACTGAGGAAAAAAATGTAACTGTCTTTAATCAGATCCTTTATGAATATTATTTTATTTATTTATAAAATGAGATAAAAGGTTCAAGGTGTACAGGTTTTTTTTTAAATGTAGAATATATTTGCATTTCATCAAGAACTAAATTTAATCTGACTAATTTCATTAACGAAATATAAAAACTAATTACTAATTAATGTACTATACATAGTTTGGAATTATAATAGTAATAATCACCATGTACCTTAGTACAATGAATCACCTCCAGTTTAAATAATGTAAAGTTTTAATTAGTATCTCAAAATGTATTTTCAGGTTTGCGGTCAAGGATCCTGTTTGATACATCTAAACCTGTAGCTCAGATTCCTTATTTAATCGACAAGTCTTACCAAACCAATCACCACAATGTGTGGCTAAATGATGATTAATGTGCGTTATTCCATTTTCAAAATTGCAGCGGATCATTCCAATTCTACCTGATTGCTTAAACTAAATTTGTATTCTCATGTATGTACCATATGAGAGTGATGACTCAAAAATATTAACGGAGAGGAAATTTTATTACCTATCAAAAGATTATATATAAATTTTACCATAGTATTTTGTGAGTTAGGACCCAAACATTTTATTTTGTTTGTGACTTTTTTTCTTGAATTTTCTCAAGAGTTCACTGCCTGTATAAAAACTGAAAGGACTTTAAGTAGAAAATTATAAGAATATTTAATCACAATTGTTAAAGCCGTTTTCGCAATAGTCTATGAAAAAACATGTTGTTATATCATTGCATAGGGAGCAACCTATTTGTTTAACAGACCCCTGTAGTCAAAATCCTACGAAATAAAATAGCAGATATCGGGCCACTCATTCCTGAGATAATCAAACGGAACAATGTTTGCACTCGCAATAAATCAAGTTTTATTGAGCCACATCATTACTGTTCCGACAAGTTGCAGTAAAAAAACGCTGCAAATTATTTCACAATGATTTATTATTTCCAAACAATTATATATCTAAAGTAACATTACCTTTCCAGTTGGAAAGGAAAAGAAATAAAAGATGATTCCAATAATTGGACTAAACTTTTTTTTTAATCATTGGTAATATGCTAAAAAGAAATCAGCATTACTTCAGTAATACATTCAAAAATCAAAAACCATTTTTTTTTATAATTTTTTTTTTTTTTTGGGGGGGGGTCCTAACTTTCCTCATCGTTAAGGCTAAACGGGGTTTTCCCGGCCAGAGGGTGTGGACGGGGATTTAAAAGACGCCTTGGCACCGGGACACGAACTCGTGACTATTTTTATAACACATTTGTCATAATCAGAGGATATAATCTTTGCAGTACAATATATAAAATACATCTAGAGACCATATGTTTGCTCATAGTTGTCCGATTTTAACGATTTAATTCCGATTTAATTTTTTAGGAAATTATGTAAACTTTTAAATAACCAATTGTTTTCAAAAAATCGGTCCACTAATGAGCAGATGGCCAACTGCGGATGAAATACAAAATTTTTATTTGTTTTTCGAATCTATGTATCCTGAAACGTGAAATGTCCAATATGGAGGGGGGTGGTTAAGTTTTTGAATTTTCTGTTCGATCACAATAGTTCATTATTGAAAATAATTAACCAAAATATGTGACCAAATATTTGTGAAATTCGCGGATTGTATTCACATGCATGATTTGAATTTTTAATTACTTCCACTTACACATACATGAAAAATTTAGTAAGAGAAAATATTAGGATCGTGAAAACAATCGACTCCCAGCATTCAACGAAAAAACATATTCAAGGTCCATGAAGAACTAAACTACCAAAGAGGTAATGAATGCAGTGTGAATGGATAAACTAGTTATGTCAAATGTAGTTTAGTTTTTAGAAAAGAACAGAATTTTATAAAAAAAAAATCCTTTACTCAATTCATCGATAACTCATATTTAATAAAACTATTATTCCTTGAATAAAATTATTACATTTTCTTACTTATTATATGAAAAATATATCGAGGGAAGAAAGTACCTATCACGGTCGTGATTGATGTGAGTTTTCCACAGATTTATATATAGCATTAAAGATCACTTGAATCCCGCTTCGTCTAAAGTACATTTAATTTTGATTATAAGAAATAATTTAAGGTCTTCTAATTGTTAATACATACATACATATATATGTGTGTCTGTGAGTGCGCTTGTTTGTATAAATTTCAGTATTACGTGTATTGGAGAAATATTTTTATAGGCTAAATATCAATTTCCGAAAATAAGAGTATTAATATTACAATATTAATATTATGATGTATGATATCCGCTGAATGTGAGATATATTTCGATCATTCCAATAGCTGGCGTGTTCAATATTCATATACCGAATTTCAGCTCGTCTTCTTGATCATAATCCGGTTCCAGCTCCAGAGGACCAGTATAAAGCCGCTCCCTCTCCGGTGGACTTCACACAGCTCTCAGCTCTCCGACAGCAAACATGTATAAGATCGTAAGTCATAAAATATATGAGTATTAAGTTTAGTAACTCATTACAGAATCGTGAATGCATAAAAAGTGGCAGTAATCAATACAATAATAAACAAAATATATCTGTTCTAGGCAATCCTTTTCGCCTGCATCGCTGCAGTCTCCGCCGGAGGCCTTCTACATGCTCCAGCTGCCGTATCATACGCTGCTCCTGCTGTTTCATATGCTGCTCCAGCAGTGTCCTACGCCTCTCCAGCAGTAGCAACCGTAGCTCACGCCCCAGCGATCTCTTACGCAGCCCCAGCAATCGCTGCTGCTCCTGCGATCAGATACGCAGCCGCTGCCCCTGCCATCAGGTACGCTGCTCCAGCTGTGTCCTATGCCGCTCCAGCTGTGTCCTACGCCGCTCCAGCAATCGCAGCTGCACCAGCCATCAGGTATGCTGCTCCAGCTGTTAGATACACTGCCGCCCCAGCTATCAGATACGCCGCTGCTGCCCCCGCTGTATCCTACGGTGCCCCAGCAATCGCCCATGCCCCAACCACTTACTCTAGCTCTTCCTTCGTGGCTCACCACGCTCCTATAGCTGTTGCCCATGCCGCACCCGCAGTCTCTTACGCCGCCCCAGCAGTGGCTACTGTTGCCCATGCTCCAGCTGTTAGCTATGCTGCTCCAGCAGTCAGCTATGCAGCTCCAGCCATCGCCGCTGCTCCAGCAATCACCACCGTCGCTCATGCACCAGTCGCAGCTGTCGCCGCTCCCACAGTCTCCTACGCCTCTCGCCCACTCGCCTATGGTGGTCTCTACGGTAGCAGCTACGGTAGCTACGGTGGATACGGTCTTGGCTACGGATATGGTTCCACTCTCCTTCACCATTAAGCACCAACTTAAAGACTTGTACCTGAACTTTACACATATTTAGTTATTTATCACAATCCCTTTGTTTATTTATTCCTTTTGTATATATTTTGTTGAATAAATAGTTGTTTTGTTATTTAAGCTTTTATTTATTATGCTACTTATTGTTTACCTTCGTTTTAATCATGATTGTTATTCATGTTTATTAAAACTGGATGTAGTGCAACTGTTGTTTTTTAAAGTGAAACTTTATCTTCAAACATCTTGTATGTGCTATTTAAGTTAAATCATTGTCATGTGTCGCAATTTCATGTTTAATTGTTGCTTCTGATATGCTCTATTTATTATAGAAAGAGCTTGCGTTGGATAGAAAATTTCAACCCTAAATAAACAAGCCAATGTCAAATTTATATTAAGGTAAAGAAGATTTGTAATCGTGCGGGAAGTTAAAAAAAGTTGGATTCAGAATCGAAAATTTTTACTGAAAATTTACAATGAAGATGGAATGTATGTTTAATAATCAGAGGTGAATATATACCTACAAGTGCAAGATCCACACGTTAATATAAAAAAAAAAAACCGATATATAAGATGTTCAACTGGACCACATCTACTAGAACCCATCATCGCATGTTAGACCAGGTGCAACGTTGATAAAACAAAAAACATTTTAATCGTAGGGGAGAAAAATATTAGTGTGTATTAAAAAGCAAAAGACAAATTTAAATTACTCAATCAAACTGTCAAGTCTTAAAGTAAAACAAACTTGGACAATAAACACGGTTAGAGACCATATTCAAACTGAGTTCAAAGATAAATTAAATTCAAGTTAACAGATAAATTATGAACATTATTCAAGAGTAAGGCCAAGAAAACGTCTGCCATTCAAGAAAAGTAAGGTCAGTATCTTTACCATTTCATTCACAATTAAATATGTTTCAAGGTCTATGAAGTTTCGTTTAAGTGCCCAATATTTGGGATAAATTGAATTCGTTATTAAAAAAAAAACGGGATTATAAACAATTGTCTGTACAGTATATATGTAAATATCGAATATTTACATAGGGTTGTGCGGGTTGGTGTCTGGATGTTCTCCTGTCAATTTCATTAAATTCCATTTAGGTACGCTGGATTTATGTACTTTTGTACATTTGATCTCATATTTGTTTTGTGAAAAGAGGCTATACAAAATGTAGGTTAAGTAAACCAACTGCTTTCTTAGAAAAACCCTTATAAGGGGCTATGAAAATATCAGATACTTTAGGCGACTGAAAATAACTGTAGGCGCCTACGCCGATGCCGCTTTTCCTCCGATTAAGTGCTTTTTCTAAAGAACCCAAATATATTACAAATTAACCAGTGATGTAAAAAGACAAATATACTCTCTAGATGTTTTACTTTAGTGCATTTTTCGTGTTTTTGGCCGTTCAATTACAAATGGCGCTTGATTTTCAAATTTAGTTCAAACGCCTTTAAAAAATTGACTTTACTGTTATTTTTTATTTCCAAGGCCAATAATTTTTTTGTATGCTTTAATTATGACGAAATTAAGCCAGTCAGTCTTGTTTGGATGCCATATTGGGGCAGTGCGGCCGCTTTTATTGTGGGGACATTGCCTTTTTTTAATACTTACTTACAATGAATACAACGATATGCAATTTATAGTGATGTGGAGGGAGGGTGTGCGGAAGGAGGGTATGGTCAACGGACTACCCACTTCCTTCAAATCTCCCTCCCCCTTTATCACCTCTCCTTCAAAATATTAATATGAATAAATATTTACATAGCTGACTCATATCATACAGGTTATTGAAGACAACTTCATTTTATCAAACATGACAAAAAATTAAAATAGAAAATCCGTATCTCGTGAACTATTTGATTTATTGAGCCCGTTCTGGTGTTAAATTGTAGCTTATTTAATCTAGTTTAAAAGTGCATGGAATGCTTTTGGTTTTTTTTTTTTGGTTTTTTTGTCAAAAACTCAAAAATTCGTCAATTCGTTCATGAATAAAATGGAGAAAATCGAAAAAAGTGCGATAATATAGCATTTTTTGGGATGTTCGAAAATGATCCGGAGAGGGGGGGGGGCCGAGGTCGAAAACTTGGATTTTGCATATCAGTCATATCACATTCAAGAAAAAAATAAATAAACCTTCTACCTTCATTCAATGCAACTTACGATGTACAAGGTTACTGGGCTATTTGTTTGACGAGAATCTCTTGGTCCGTTATCTATTAAGTCTCATTACTTTACTTTATATTATAATAATTTAATTCTTTCTTAAGGACGGTGCTTATGAAATATAACACATATTTTTATGTGTTCCACTAGTTTTTGTTGAAAAAGTAGAAAAAAAAAACCATCCAAAACATGACTAAATACAATGGTAATAGAGACAGTAATTATTGATTTTACTGTAAAAAAAAATTAGTTTTTATGACTAATGTGTCAAATATCAAATTGCCTAAAACCTTTGAAAAAATAACTTATAAAATGTTGATCAGTATTGTTTCTGTTACATATTCAAGTAAAAGAGTCATATAAAGGATACATTTGTTTTAACTGCAATTAATTTTAAAGATTTATTACTATTTTTTATCTCTGTCTCCTCACAACAAATTCACACTTATCAAGAAATAATTAATTTTAAGGTGATCTAGTTAAAACAGTATCATTTAGCTTGTACTTTCTATTTCAAAACTCGTGGTTTGGATTTAGTTTTTATGAAACGGAATGTTTTTTGGGGGTGTACTTCCCTTCCTCGACTTTAAGGCTATACGGGCTTTCCCGGGCCAGAGGGTTAGGGCGGGGATTTAAATTTATGAAACTGAATAGTACTAGCTACAGTTCCAAATCTAACAGGATTAGTTTGTACTTATCTATTATGAAACCGTTCTCTGTTCTCTAGTAAAAAAGTATGAATAGCAATCATTATGAGTAAAAAGAAGGTAAACGATAAGTAGCAAAAAGCTTAAATAACAAAACATCTATTTAATCAACAAAATATATACAAGAGGAATAAATAAAAAAAGGGATTGTGATAAATAACTAAATATGTGTAAAGTTCAGGTACAAGTCTTTAAGTTGGTGCTTAATGATGAAGTAGAGTGGAACCATATCCGTAGCCAAGACCGTATCCACCGTAGCTACCGTAGCTGCTACCGTAGAGACCACCATAGGCGAGTGGGCGAGAGGCGTAGGAGACTGCGGGAGCGGCGACAGCTGCGACTGGGGCATGAGCGACGGTGGTAATTGCTGGAGCAGCGGCGATGGCTGGAGCTGCATAGCTGACTGCTGGAGCAGCATAGCTAACAGCTGGAGCATGGGCAACAGTAGCCACTGCTGGGGCGGCGTAAGAGACTGCGGGGGCGGCATGGGCAACAGCTATAGGAGCATGGTGAGCCACGAAGGAAGAGCTAGAGTAAGTGGTTGGGGCATGGGCGATTGCTGGAGCAGCGTAGGATACAGCGGGGGCAGCAGCGGCGTATCTGATAGCTGGAGCGGCAGCGTATCTAACAGTTGGAGCAGCGTACCTGATGGCTGGTGCAGCTGCGATTGCTGGAGCGGCGTAGGACACAGCTGGAGCGGCATAGGACACAGCTGGAGCGGCATAGGACACAGCTGGAGCAGCGTACCTGATGGCGGGAGCAGCGGCTGCGTATCTGATTGCAGGAGCAGCAGCGATTGCAGGAGCTGCGTAAGAGATCGCTGGGGCGTGAGCTACGGTTGCTACTGCTGGAGCGGCGTAGGACACTGCTGGAGCAGCATATGAAACAGCAGGAGCCGCGTATGATACGGCAGCTGGAGCATGTAGAAGCCCTCCGGCTGAGACTGCAGCGATGCAGGCGAAAAGAATTGCCTAGAACAGATACATTTTATTTATTATTTTAATGATTACTGCCACTTTTTATGCATCAACGATTCGGTAATGAGTTACTAAACTTAATGTTCATATATTTTATGACTTACGATCTTGTACATGTTTGCTGTCGGAGAGCTGAGAACTGTGTGCAGTCCGCCGGAGAGGGAGCGGCTTTATACTGGACCTCTGGAGCTGGAACCGGATCACGGTCAAGAAGACGAACTGCAATCACTGCCTCCAGTTTTCGGTTTCTGGTTGACATATAAGAAGGCGGATCGACGCTACACATTATTGGCTAGTTCGTGTTGAAACCACAACGACTACAGATCGTCTGGCATTTACCTCGGCCCGCCCAGCATCCTCAGGGTTGCCTCAGGATTTCAACAACTCCATCATGACGAGCTGTCTAATAAATTGATTAAAAGTATCATCAAATCTTATAAGTGATGTGTTAGTTTAATAATTAAATTATGGTGTGCATATGGTCTAACCTCAATATAATTATTGTTCGTGTGACAGAATGTTGTTACTGAATAAATAAAAAAAGTAATTAAACTATTTTATTAATTTCATACCAATTTAAATAAGAGATTATACTTTTCGTAAAAATTCTGTTTGTTGTCTTTTTGTAGCAGTTATCATAAACCTTGTTATCAGATTCCTTTTCCGATAATATGCGATTACCAAGGCGGTTTTGTGTGAATGTGAATTGCTAAAATAAGCCATTATCTAAATACTAAAGATATTGCTAACGTTTAAATGTTTTTAACCTTAAATTGATAAAATATTTTGCAGTTACACCAGCAATTAAATAATATGTCTACGGGAATTAAGTCAGTCTTTATAAAACTTTTATGTAAAAGAACTTGAATGGTATAAAAAAGAAATATATCGTGTTATGTTATTGTTTTTTATGTTTAATATGTTTTTGATAAGCTTAAATAAAAAAGATTATTAATTTATAATAGTATTTAGTGTTTTAACATTATTTAATAATCATATTTTTAATAATTTATATTTGTTTTGTCAATAACTTATTCAGGCTATTGCTACTATTGCAGAGAGGTACCTACTCATTACTTGGATTAAGACAATTTTAAATGAAACATTGTTTTATCACAGTAAGTTTGAAGTTGTAATCGAATATTGAAGGTATAGATACCAATATATAATATTCTATTGTTGTTTATATTTTAGAATGTGAAGGATAGAAGTTTATATCCTAAAATATATACAACAAAACCTATTATTATTGTTATTTCTTTTGTGATATCAACAATAAAACAAAATCGTTTTTAGAAAAATTGTTAGAACAGCATTATTCTTGAAAAATTGTTAGAAAAAATAGCAATTATCTAGAAAACTAAAAAATTGTAAAAATGTGTCGATGATGTAAAGTGACACCTCCGATCAAATAAAATAAAGAAACGTTGGTGGCACGTAAGACACGTACACTTTTAAAACACCTCACGAGTTTTCACGAGACTTGCTTATTTAGACTCAGAAGATCTTATCACGGAAAAAAAAGTTTCCTTTATCGTAACATTTTCACTTACTATGTATTTCATATACAGTTAAAACATATATGTATAAGTAAGTGAAAGAAAACATAATTAATACTCAGGATTGCTAGTTTTAAAATACATAATTCACTCATTGAGATTTACATAAAGGTTTTCTGAAAATTATTCTGGTATATTCTAAATACTAAGCGCAAAAATATATCTGATATATTCATTCACACTAATTTTTTTTACATCTTTCCATCTGTCCATTTCTATTCAATGTATATTCCATTCAATGTACATTTTTGTTTTATTTTGAAAATCCTCTGATCTTTTTCTTTAAAGTTTGACTTTATATACAAATCAATGTATTTCCAATTAGCATTCGGAATGTTCAGGGCATTTTTAGAATTCACGTTAATCTAAAAACTAATGAAAAGTGAACATGTTTCCGTTGTACTTCAAGAAATATTCCTTTAGATTTTCATAACACTAACCGTTTTTTTTTAAGTCAATACGCTCTATTTTTTTTTTTAATAATGGCGTAATTGTTTTTCTGTTGTGTGGAAAATGTGAGTACCTCATATATACATATAATGTATACTCCTTAGATTAATCCGAAATAAAATTATTTTTCCAGTTTTTCTCTGATTGGAAAACCTCTATAGGGACAAAATATTTTTATGGATCTGATGTTTTGTGTTTTTAAAGTCTCATTTTTCGATTATTATTCACAAATAGCTGCATGTATTTAAAAAAAAAAAATCTTCGAAAACTGAAACAAAAATTTAACATGGCGTACTTTACCTCCGGGGTACAGATTTATTTTGTATACTTTATAATGATCCAAAGAAAAATTATCATTTAGTAGCAGTAGAGCAGTATTTTTTGTTTGTTTTTTTAATTTATATTTACACGTCTTTATTGCGTAATATTACAGTTAGTCACATTTAAGAAGATTTGTAACAGTGATAGATTAGCTCATTAACACTCTATGTACAATAAATAAATATAATAATAATATTAAAAGTAAATGTATTAGATAAAAACAAAAAGAAACTAAACGAGTAAAAATAATAACTTTAATGTAAACATACTTTTATACAAAATAACTCGTGGAAGCAAGGCAAGGATTCTAGGAGATCTCATCACTCCAGCTACTGGACCAAAAAAAAGGCCCAAGAACAGAAAAAATACAGTTCTTTTGTCAGTACTTTTCAATAATTAATTATAATTTTTAAATTTGTGACAGTAATTAATAAGGTATACCACATTCCATAATTTTATTTTATTTATAAGTTCTTCAAGTTAAAACATTTCCGTTCAGAAATATGAAGACTTCTATCAGATTTATTCCATTGGATTCATTAAGAGAATTAAAATGCAATGTTACCAAAAAAAAACTATAATTCTGTTCCTCAAGTTGTCGCAAGCCTGTGATGGATTGGCTAGAGGGTGAACGTACGCAAGGAGCCCTGCCCAGATTATGTAAGCTACAAAGGTCACCGGTCGGGACTGCACTTGGCGATCGTGTGGTTAGTGTAGCAGTTCAACTGCTCCTTCTAGCAGTCAAGCAGTCGGTATGTTATGCACTTGACTGTTCTTTAGTTTTCCAACCTCAGCATAAATTATTTTCTCAAAATATATTACTCATATGTAAAAGTTTACTACGAAGATGAAAAAAAGGGGTCGTAAAATCCGATTTCTGAATAACTCAAAAATTATACACTTTTTAAAATTTTAACAAAATCCTAAAATTAAAAAAAAAAAAAAGCGTGGAAATCGGACAATTTGGTGCAAAGATATATTTTTCATATGTTCTACCTCAAAGCTTATTTCCTTTGTTTTGGTTTATAATATCCTCAAAGTGTTATATAAACTGAAGCAAAGTGTTTTATTTTTCTTAGAAAGCTACTAATGATGAAATAAAAAATTATTTAAGAAGAAATATTAGGAATCACCTTTTATTTATGTTTTCTTTATGTTACAAGGAAAGTAATGTTACATTTGATATATCATTGCTTGGGAAAAATATATCATTGTGTAATAATTTGCAGCGTTTTTTATACAATGTAAGAGCTAAAATGACCTGTGTGTGGTTGGAAAGTCCCAATTATTAGAAATAAATAAAAATATACTAAGTTTTATTTCTCACAGGTGTTTTATTTATTTTATTTCGCCATACCTTCGTTAGTTCCGATTATTTTAAGGGTTGTCTTCTTCCATTTGTCACAATCCTCAACATCTTTGAGGAAAATAAAAGATAAACATAAAAAAAACTTCATTTGGCCATAACAGAGAAAGTGTGTAATTTACGGTGTATTACATCCATGATTACTTAAAAGGTTCATAATTTTCTACTAAATAAAAAGAAATCGAAGTGGGACCATTATGAGCAAAAATATAGAGTACAGTAGATTATATTAACGTTTTGGTTTATTATTATGAATATACTACTTGAATTCGAACAAGAAATGATTTTCTCCCACCTCCTAATAACATATAACCAATAACATACTTCCATACAATTGTTTCAGTTGTTCACTGACAAATATTTTATTCGAATTATTCGCACGGGCCAGCTAGTCTAGTATACCTATATTACAATACAGGATAACGGCTCGTTCAAGCTTGGAGGAACTTTGAAGAATAGTTAAGAAATAGTCTGTTACCGATTTCATTGAATTCCATTAAATAATTAAACTCAATACAAATAACTGTTAACAATATGGTGGCTGTGAAATGTGGAAGACGTTGATCACGTGGAATGGACATAGGTTGAAAAAATATTTTCATGAGGTTATAACATCTTAAAATGCTATCCTTGTCACCGTTGATTATTTGTTCCAAAAGTGAATCGTACTCCAACAAGTAACAAATAATTCAATGTATTATAAATCTAACCAGCTTCTGTTCAGCTCCAACATTTGATCGAGAAGAATATTCCTCTCCGAGGTTCTGGTTTCATAAATTTTAACCAGGTTTGGGAGTCATGGATTATTTAAAATCCACAAGTAACGAGTATGGCAATTTCTAATTATGAAATAAACAATGGAAACACATTATCCTTTAAATAACATAATAACGAATAGCAGTACAGCCTAGTAAAGAACAGTGGGGTTTAAAAACGGGATTCGCAAGCACAAAACGTCAAAAGATAACAATGAATAAATAAATTATTTAACGATGGATCCTATATTGCTTTCATAGATACCTATAAAAATAAAATGCCAATATGAACCTATTTCTTTATACATCCATATAATTATTTTATTTTCCTGTACTGAAGATAAATACCCTAATATTTTGTTTTAATGCTGAATGGGTGATGTCAAAATGAAGTCCGAGATAACGGACCTCACACTCTTTCGTAAAATCTATACCATTTGAATCGATTTCAATGTTGATACTATTATCAGCTTTTTTGAAAACTTTGGGAACAAAGAAGCAATGTTCACCGATTGTCCTTTAAGTGATCTTGGAACAATCCAGTCTGAGAGCTCAAAAAAAGGTTACCCAAAGGATGACTTTTGATCCATTAGTATTATCCACCATAAGTAGTAAATATCCACAAATGTGCCACTGTCCTGAATTGTGTGAATCAAAGTGAACTCTTACGAAACATCCAAAACACGTATCCTTGGCCTATGAGTTTCTGGCACAATCCACAAATTTTAAAAGTCACTGGTACTCATATCGTCATTATTATAATCCGACATCCGTTATATTATTATGACAGGAACAAGTATATTTCTCATAGTTAATTGTTCAAATAAGTATAAAAATACATAAATTATAAAGTAG